ACATGTTTCTTATTGAAAAAATTGTATGATACAAAAATGATCACTGTCTAGTTAAATGGTATGGTTTGAAAAAATGTAGTTGGATACATAAAAACGATTTAGTATGATTTCAACGCTGGTCCAAGATGGAAGAATCAATAGTTGTCGATTTTCAGTGAATCGTAGATTATACATGTCAATTAATTGTAAAAGAATTATCGGTGTATACGTTTAATATTTTATATTATTTTGTGTTTAAACCACCTGATATTTTTTACATGACTATCAAACTTATTAATCTTACCAATCAGCTAAATTAAACTCGTGGTTATATCGTAAAAACATAAATTACATCTTATTAACGCNTTTATATTATTTTGTGTTTAAACCACCTGATATTTTTTACATGACTATCAAACTTATTAATCTTACCAATCAGCTAAATTAAATTCGTGGTTATATCGTAAAAAACATAAATTACATCTTATTAACGGCAATGTGGATTATTCAGAACTACAGATATTAATGAACGGTTTTGCAAATCGATGTTTACGATTTTATGTTAAAGGCTTACAAAAAAAAAAGTCTCTAGAAAAATTTACGAGTAAATCAGTAATCAATTTGGAAGATTATGATTGTCCGAGAAGTTATAAACTTTTACATGATTATACCGATGTATCAACAATTACATTGACACGGTACCGTGTTTCCCTCAGCCGCACATCACGTTATCAACCTATATGAAAGTGTATCGGAATCTGAATCATAAGTGCACGGTGGCCTAGTGGTAAGGTTTGTCTATACGACACCTTGGGTCGCGTGTTCTAATCCCGTACCGTGCCTCTTTTTTTCACATGATTTCAGGTACACTTTCTATAACCGGCCGTCAATCCCCGGCGGCCGTGTTAACATGTTCATTTCATAAACATAATGATGATTGTTGTACGAATAATCGCATTAAAGTTTTATGTGTGTGGTTAAAAAATAATTGTATAATGTAAATACATTATGAATGTGTTAAAGCTTTCATGGATTGTCTGGTTGCTTGAAGTGCTTGAGGATATATCCATGTTTTCAGTTGGTTTCTGACGTTTCCACCAACTAGCAACCATCACTTTGAAGACGGACTCTGCAATGAGTCCGAAACGTCAGAAACCAACTGAAAACATGGATGTACCCTCAAACACTTCAAGCAATGTAAATACATTTTAATGTTTTAACAAGCATGTAAATATAAAATATAGTAAAAATTATTAGTTGTATAAATGTAAGTTTATTTCAATAAAAATATTATTCCCCATATTGTTTGTATATAGTTATTGCATACTATACATTTGTTACTTTCGATTAAAATATAAAATAATGTTGTTAGCCTCTAAATTGATAGAGAAGTAAAAATACACTTTCCCATCCGCACATAAACTATGTTTTAGAAATTATCGAATTAAATAAACGACATTATTTCACAGTATTTATAATTATAATAACAGTATGTATTCTCTTTGATATAAACATTTACTATTGTTTTATCATTGCGTGAAAAAAATGTCGATAAAATTCATTGTTTTCACTCACCAACTGCGCCTGTACATAATAATTCGCACAATATTATACATTTTGATAGCATTGTGTACACAAACATTTGAAACAAGTATTTTATTAAAATTAAAATTTACTAACATATACAGGAGTAAAAATAAGTAATATAAGATTAAGTAAAAGTAAGTAATATTAATTACACACATTACAAATAGCGATAATTGATACTGCTTGTCATCTTCAAATTCTAACACTATTGATGTGTATTGAGTAGCGATAATCTTTACGATTGTAATATAGTAGTAGTACGGGTTTACTAGTAGATAATAAAATCAATACCAGTTTTAAGGAACGCCCTGGACGGTTCTAGTAGCTCAGCGGGCAAATCACCCATAATCGGCTGGACTACAACGGGCCTATATTTAAAATATGGCACACAAGCCCGCGCTACCTGACGCCCAATATAGTGTCCATTTAGTGGCCAATATTTTAAACGGACCGACGCCAACATCGATTGCTGTTCACCGTGCAAAAGTTTTAAATGCTCGTTAACAAATACTAATCTCGTGTATTCACACTTAGCTGGCAATATAACTGGATGACGCTGCAACGAACTCAAATTAACCGCTTTTCGTAAACGACCGCCCACCCTGAGCACGCCCCCCTCATCTAAGAACGCATTTAAACGTATTAAATTAATTTTTGGTTTTATTGTACGTAGTTTTTGAATGCTTTGTATTTCTTCACCAAAATAACACTTTTGAATGATCTTTATTATGCATGTAGTCACTTAATCAATTTAATCAGCCTGTACAGGACCATACTTTACTTTACGCTAATAGAGCTTACGCATTATTCACAAATCAATAACAATATGCTAAAATGCGTTAAAATTTTGTAGTTACGAATATTTATTTAAAATTGACAAGTCATGACTAACCACCGACACCAACACTTGCGTTGTTGCGCGCTCTTCTGTCGATATTTCTATTCGACGATCTTCGTCAAAAGTTGACCTGGGCCACTAAAGAGGTTTTCTTAACTAACGAATTAAAGGTCCTCCAACGCATTGTTAAATTCTTTAATTGAAGTGCGCAAATGCCACGTGAGATCACATCCGCCGGGTTGTCAGCAGTACGCACGTGATGCCATTGTGCAATGGATGTGAGCTCGTGGGTTTCTCCTACTCTGTGGGCCACAAACGTTTTCCACCTAGCTGACAATGATGCTATCCACGAAAGTACCACTGTAGAATCGGACCAATAAAAATAATCAGAAATATTTAATCGTAAACTGCGCCCATACTTATCTGCTAACCGTGTTAATAATACAGCTGCTAACAGTTCGAGTCGCGGCAGTGACACAGTTTTAAGCAGGGCGACGCGAGACTTTATTATAATCATTGATTAATGTAGCATTTAGCGATGAGTCCCATCAAACCGTTTGATAGGTCTCTTTCTATCCGGACTGAGAGTCGTGGTGGTAATGCCAAAATACGCGTTGTAATTTGTTTGTGGGTACGATGATCGATGTGTTTTTTTATTACGTATGCGTAAAGGTCTGTTTAATAACAAAAAAATATTCTTTTATTATCAACTGTAGTGGAGCGTAGGGATGGGCATGATATGGGTGACCATATTAGATTGTATATTCTTAAACCCAACCAAACCATATTAGAACATGTTGAACATGTTACAACTAAAAAGTTTGCCAGACACGTGCGTTGTGATGAAATTTACCAAGGTGTGTTTAATTTACAGTTATTACTCTTCGATTAGTGCAAATAAGTCAACGCGGCATTGTTTGTATATAATTCAAAAATATTTATATATAAAACATATATTTTAAAAGTGATCTAAATTTGTTTGTGGCTCATATGATCGCTAAATATTTGCCTTTAACAACGGCATAACGTATTTATACGTTATAAATTTTCTACACGTGTAAGCGACAATTATCCTTAGGATCATCTCGTTGCCATGCTAAAATAATACCATCTAGTACGTTAGCGTCAGTTTATAGGCAAAACGGTTTTGTGTGATTTGTTGGAGAGAGGCGTGGTGAGTCACATATCACTGTTGTGATGCATTCAAAAGCGTTTTGCCGTGTGTGGGATTACGACCATATATCCCCTTTTTGGAGCAGTTTAGTGATTGTCGACGAACTGGCTATACCAATTACATACTCCTCGAAATCTGCGTCTCTCTGACCTTACGTAGCACTGGTATAGAGCATATGGACTGTTGTTGTTATTATTGATAATAGAACATATATTGAACAACGTGTTCAACAACAAGTTTTAGTATAAAATATATAGTTGGTATATATGAGAAATATAGATATAATTTAATCAAATTATGTAATGGATCCAATACCAGTGATACGATCACATTTGCATGTGCTCATATCTCTGTCTCCCAAAACATCACTGTACCGTTTAATAGACATATATATATATATATATTTATTTATATATAATTAACACAGTGACATACAACAATACTAACAGGAGGGCGGATTGTACACATAAACACTTTTGCAATTCAAGGCCAATGTGCCATAATAAGATATCCCTATCGACAGTTGACCTTTTACCATCTTCGCGATCACTACTTTTGTCTGATAATTAACTTAACTTTTCTACATAGTATAAAGTGTGTGTGTGTGTCTCCATCAGCTCTCTGTTGGATTATATCATCTCTAGGTGTCCAGCAGGTTGTGTTATCTATTTAATATTCCGATCATTTAATAAATATTTATTTATATCGTTGTTAACCCAAAAGTGTTATATTTATATACAGGGTGTTCAGTAAGTCAGGAAACGGGTTTCTATTGTTCTCATTGTTACAAACAATGAGAACAATAGATACCCGTTTCCTGACTTACTGAACACTCTGTATAGTGTAGTGCGACCCTTGGTAGTTCCTCTAAGGGAATATTAATTAAATAGGAAACTTCAGTACCTAAGGTAGATATAGCCTAGCCAGCTAACCCCGTTGGTCCCTTAGAATACTGTCGACCGGCATTTAGGCTCAACCCATTAGGCGCAAATATTTGCTCTATATATTTGTTACGAACCCGTATTATTATGGTATTAGTGCAGTGAGGTTAGTGAGTAATTAATAGTAGAAAACGAATAGTTTTGATTAAGCATTAATTAATCGTGTTCGACCCATCGTACGTATAAAATTGTGTAATAACTTTATGACGATTAATGTTATAATGTTATGTTTGTATTTTATAAAATTAAACGTACTATTGTATTTTTTTTTCAATTTAAGTGTACTTTTATTTCACATTACAAATAAATTTCACTCCAACACGTTATCGTGTCTCATCCTAGGTGGGACACGACATATTTATTATAATATAATTTATTTTCTATTTATCTAAAAATAAATTATCTTAAAACAGTAAAACACGTTTAAAAAATTATAAAAGAGAAGAGTAAAATTATAGAATACCATAAAAATTTACAAGTTTACATTAAAACAATTCGAAAAGGTCAAAATGTTTTCTAAAAATATTACACTTTTATGCGTGTGTAATTTGATAAAGATGATATCGTCAAATGAGGTAACTTGAAATTTGTTAAAACTCATCAAAAATGGAGTATGTTTTTTTTAAATTAATGAAATATTATTATTAAAAGTGACGTAAAAAGTTTTTAATAAGAACGTTGAATTAGTTTTGAAAATTTTTCAAAAAATATAAGAAGTTATAGTAATATTATTACATAAATAGACATAACTATCTACGATAAAATGATTGCAAGTGTAATAAAACAGAGGGCGATCTCGGATTTAAACAATATGAAATTGATTAGGTTAAATATTAAAGAAGTTTTCTGCATTTTTCTTAATGATTTATTACATAAAAGTTTATTTAAATTCTAAAAAGATTAATTAAAAGTGCTACATATCTTAAAATCACTTTGACATAATAATATTTGTATTAATTGATAATCGTGAATATTTTCTATTATTATTTCACTAAAATAAGCTTTAATTTGATATATGTTTAAAGGATTACTGTATTTCTGGAACGTTTTCAAAAATTAAGTTGAAAAAGTTAGTTTTTGTAAAAAAATTGCTATTTTAAATCCTCCTTGTGAGCAGAATAAGTGTTAGATTTTCAAAAAAAATGATATCAATCGAAAGGAAATTACCTAAAGTTTCAATATAAAAAAATATTATTTTGATTTGTTAATATTTGAAAAAGTTATGGCAGTTTTAAGTACAAAAAACATCCTCATAGAAGGTGATTTTTATCGCAAATATTATATTTTTTTTAAAATTTCGACAGCAATTTGCACATGGTAGATAAGGTGTCGGGACAAATTTTTTTTTTAATTTATAGTACATAAAATAAGCTTTAATTTTATATATGTTTAAAGGACGCAGTATTTCTGGAACACTTTCAAAAGTTCAGTTGAAATAGTTCTATGTTTTATACAATGTTTCAAATTTTGAACGCACCCTATATATGGGGAAATTGTCAAATTTTAATAAAAAGTGCATCAAACAAAAGATGTACTTATAATATATTTAGAAAAAAAAAAATTTGTGCTGATATATACATTTTTCGAAAAATTATAGCATTTTTAAGTTGAAAATTTAAAATCGAAAATTTTAACACAAAAATAGGGTTTTTTTAAATACGGCATGCAGAAGATAAAGTGTCGGGGAAAATTTTTTTTTTTCATTTTATAGTACATAAAATAAGCTATGATTTGATGTATGTTTAAAGAACGCAGTAATTCCTTAACATTTTCAAAAATTCAGTTGAAATAGTTAGTTTTTGTAAAAAACTAACTATTTTAAAACCCTCCCCAATGGGCAGGTTAAGTGTTGGCATTCAAAAAAATGATATCAAACAAAAGGGAAATATCTAAGGTCTTAGTATTAAAACATTCATGTTGTTTCGTTTATTTTTGAAAAAGTTATGGAAGTCTTAAGAAAAAAAAAAGAAAAAAATGACAAAATTTGTCAATTTTTAAATTTGTAATTTTTTTGGATATTTCCCCCATTTGCGGGGAACGAGGGAAAATTTTTCAATTTTTAAGGGTAATGTCTTCAACTAGATACGATTGGTGGTCTTATGACGTATTGTTAAAAGAAATTGGTCCAGTGAGAGCTGAGAAAAAGTAGTGACAGACACAAAAATAAATAAATAAATAAACACATCATGGTAAAATTAATACCTTCTCAGCTTCGCATCGAAGCTAAAAATAATCTAATTAGGAAAATGTTTAATCGATTACATAATTTTTATCAGTGTTCTGGAAATTATTAACAATTTTATACCTTGGTTAGATTGGGTTTATTTTGAATTTTAAAATACTAGTTCAAAAGTTGTTATCGACCAATTATTTTCTAAATTACATAATTGTGCCTTAAAAAATTTACATTGACACTCCTAAAAGTCATAAGAATGAACATAAAAATTATTTTATAACAAATAAAATAAGTTTTATATATAACTGGAAAATTTATATTTTTATTCTGATTGTATTGACTTTTTATTGTACTATTTACTGACTGTATTGTTTGTTCTTTAGTCGTTATTTTAATATAATTATATTGAGAAATTTTTAATACTTACAGAATATAACGTATGTAACATGTGTCAAAAAGAATGATAAATACTTGATATATTATAAAACGGATCTAAATTTTCAATTTAAATTCAATCCAGTTGATGAAGATTGGAAAAAAAACAAATGTGAAAGTTTGGGATTTACATTTAAAGAACATAAGGATTTTAAGTCAGCTTTTCGTCAAAAGTATCATTATGAAGAATTATATAAAGTTTTGTCTGATCTAATATGTGGAGATTCAAAATTTCAAAGAACACTACAAAAAAATATTTGTTCAGTAAGTTAAAATGTATCATTTAACACAATTATTACTAGTAAATTTAATTGTTATATATGATAAAACTAGAGCATAATAACAAATGATGACATCAAAAAACTTTTTCCTGATGAAGAATCTTTTAATGATTATTTAAAATTTTATTCAAATTTTGAAAATCAAGGTATGTTAAATTGACATTAAAAAATTATTTTTTAATTGAGAACTACTCGTCTATCTGCAAAATGAGAACAAATTCCAAATTTTTTTTTGTTATAATTTTAATTTTATATAATTTTTTATTTAAATGAGATAATATTTACGATCATCTTTAATCATTTATAAAATACACTAAAATAAAAGCACTCACATTTATTTTATTTATTCTATATACTGCTGAAATCGTCAAAATTAATAGTTCAGAATAAATTATTAAAAATTTAGTTTTCATTTTTTTCTTAAAGAAAACAAACATTATTTTCTGAGTGTTTAAAAATTGTATACATATATATATATATATATACTATGTACTTTTTTCTTTTCCAAATTAAAAATTTCATTATAAAATTACCAATTAAAATGTCTATACAAAACAAAATAGAGATAAGTGTTATAATACAGAGACGATGAGATTATATAATAATAAGTATAAAAAATAAGACATATAATTTTTGACATTAAAGGACAATTGAATAATTTTAATGAATAATATGAATTTCTTTTAAATTGAAGCCAAATGATTGTATAAAGAATACAGTATAAGTTATTGATCTTTTTTCTGCGAAATAAGTAGAAATTAATGAATAAATTATCTGTGATATAAGCTTATAATTAATTAATGAATTTATCTTAAGATAATAAGGAAAGTGCTGATGAATTGTTTATTTATTTTAGTTTCACCATATAATAAAGGTAAGTTTTAATAATTTCCAATATTTGAAATAGTATTATTTTTTAAAATTAATATTGCCATTCATATCTTTTAATATTTTTATATGGTATTTCGTATGTAAAATAAATATTTATTCTAAACAACGATTAGGAAACATTTGATATAAGTAACCATTTTTAGATGAAACTAATGTATGTCCAATTTGCTTGGATAAAGCCGATTTACCTGTTGTTTTTAACAAGTGTCTACACTCTTTATGTAAAAAATGTGCTGCTTCATTAATACATACAAATCAAAAGAGATGTCCAATTTGTAGAGCAAATTTTAATTATTTCACAGACGAAGGTATGGTAATAAAGAAAATTAAAAGAAATTTTATAATGGTGTATAACTAATAAATTTATTGATGATAATCAAGGATGCATCTAGGGAGACTAGCATTACATGAGGTTGCCCTAAACGGCAGATTTTAAGAGCGACAGTAAATAGTGAAAATGTATGTTATAAAGTTCGAGAATTTTTTTGTTTTACTCAATAAAAAAAAAAATGAAACAATAGCACAGGGAGTCACTGTGCTACCATTTGTTGATTAATAAAAATATTTTATAATAGATACATGTTAAACCAGGTCTCAGACACTCTAAATGTGAACGAAAATTAGTAGCAATTTAATTTTATGTAATGTTATCATTTTTACGAAAGCGATTAAAAATAAAAAATTTTTTGTGTTGTAAATATTTAGATTTATCCAATAATTTTATTATTTGATTATTCGCAATTCTTATATAGAAAACATTGAATATTTAATTACTAAGGAAGGTTTTAAATTTGTTAAAAAAACATTTTTTAATTATTATTCTATTTTAGGGTAATATTTTTTTTAGCGATTTGGTTACACTAATTTTCCTATATTATAATGTTAGATTGTTTAATTACTTTCCTATATTGTCTATGAAAATTTGCATTTGTGTTCATTATGTATGAAATGAAAAGTAACTATCATACGCAGAAAATTTTAACTGTGAAAATTCGAACTCTATCAAACAACTCCTTCCCGTTCCGCGTTGGGGTAGAAGTTTGACCAAATAGGGTTGTTTTTTAGTTTTCATATTTATTTTAATAAATATTATAGTTAGCGTAAAAATATAAAGAATAAAAACTATTTAGTATTATATTTCAAAAAAAAAAAAAAATTCTAATACATGTTTTCTAAAATATATCATAACTATTATTACTTAAAAATATCTTTTAATTTTTATAATTTTGTAAAATTAATAATATTATGACTGTTACCATTGACACGGCAGAAAAAATTATTAACAATTAAATGTTGTAATAAAAATAATGAATTTGGGATTAGGCTGTATATGGTGTGAATCTTATGTTGTGGTTATTTCGGGGTCGTATGGTTCGATGGTTTAAAACGACAAAGACAAGATATAAAAATAATAAACGCAGTACCTCTAATTGAGGTGTAACAGACTTTTGTCTGGTTTGTTTGTAATGTCCTACCTAAGAGGCAATAAAACGGTGAAGCCAGTTTATGAAACCAGAGCCTAACTTATACAGTAGAAATCACGCTAGGTTTTTTAAAACATCTTTAAGGAAACGAAACGGCGGAGCCAGTACACGAATACCATAAAATATTATACATAATCACGTTGATTATGTATAATATATTAACCAACCAGTCAAAATTAAAACTTTAAGATTTTAATTTAATAAATGATCTATTGCTGTATCATCCTTAACTCAAACTTATTAACTCTAAATAATTGGGATATTATAAATTTAGTTACTTCTTTTTTTTTGCAAATTGCTGTGATATAATTCGATACGTCTTTTGATATGTATATATGTACTTAGAGGGATTTGAGCTTTGTCACAAGATAAAAAATTTAAATAAATTCTTTTCATATGTATGTAAGCAAGACGCATAAAAAAACAGCCAACAACAACATGGCGTTGTGGATAGCAATTGTTTTCTTATATGAATTCAGTGAAAGCGAACTGGTTTAAAAGGATTTCAGTGATTTTTATAGTAAATGATAGTACCCTCAATCCAGAGATCTTTTTCGATTAAAAAAAAAACACCCTTAAAGTCATAAGGGATTAACATAAATAATATTTCATAAGTAATAAATGGAGATATATTTGTAAATAATATAAGCCCATTATTATAATGATGAAAATATTTACATAAATTATTTTTTTAATTAGATTATTTCCTTTTAATAGATAATCTAGTTAAATATGTATGTTATAAAAAAAATAAAAATAGACAAATTTAACATCCCTTTAAGTTGTAAAAGATGATTCTAAAAAGTAATTATTAACTGATAAATGAAGAATAATATGGAACTAAAAGAAATCAATAATTGTTTTTCCAATATTGTATATATTTTGTAAGTAATCGGGTGGTGTATGATAAACCGATCAATCTGTAAAATTTATCACAGAACACATATTCATAAATATTAAATATTTTTTCTCATTAACAATTCATAAATTATTTATTTTAAAATATCGTTTTCTTTCACACATTAGTGCATTAACTATTTTCTTATGTCGAGTGTAGTAAGATATATGTGTTTGGCCAATGGAGACGCGTTGCAGCCATGAGACCTAATTGACGTTGTCAATTTCTTGTTTGAGCATTATTGAAATGATAACTATTTTATCACATTCAATAATATTGAATATACTAAGTGTCCTTAGCCTAATAGACATAGTCAATCCAGATTTCATTTCCCCCTAAATTTAAGGTATGAACTTAGTAAATAGATTATTAGTACAATTTTAAAAAATCAGTTTTGTCTTTTACATTTAAATTACACTATCTAGTGATGAATTCTACTTTGTATGTGTCTTTATTAGTGAAAACCTTACGGCTATAGCCGGTGATCGTCACAACATACTCTAAGTTTTTTATATCATTATTTGTAGAATAAAGAACTTTAAATAAAATAAATATTTTAAAATGTATGTGATGTACATAAAACATTAATATATTATATAATTTACCTTTTATCTAATCTAAGAATCTATATTGTTCCTTGAACATTTTATTATACAAAAATAATGTAAAGAAGATTATTTGAAGAATTAAGTTTTTATATACATTTCAGGTAACGTGGTTAGTTCGGGTGGCTTGATCGAATATTTTGCTGCAGCATATTACTTGGATGTGTGTATTTTTTTGTTCGTGAGAGTAGGTGAATGGATGTTTTTTGACAAGAACGGGCTTAATTGCTCTCAAGAAGATATTGAGAACAAAAAGTGTATTTATCTATTCAAACATGAGCGTGAGAAAACTATTGGAGTTGTCGTTAAAACAAGGGAGCTATCTTTTTTAGATATTTTTTAAAAATATTTAAAGAAAAATGATTTATTATAATAAATTTATTTTTAATAATAACAATAAAAAAAGAGATTGAAGCTAAAAAATATAATATTCATTGATTAATTTATTTTTGACTATTACGTTATTCTAAAATAACAACTTTAAAAACAAATTTTTAGATTTTTAAGTAGCATTTATTTTAGCTTCGATGCAAAGATGTGAAGATATTAATTTTACCATGATGTGTTAAACTTCGAAATTTTTTTCTTTAAATTTATATTATTTATTGAAAAATGATGAAATAAAAATAATTCTTTTTTTATGTTGAAACCTTAGATATTTCCCTTTTATTTGATATAAATTTTTTGAAAATCTGATTAATTACCTACAGACAGGAAGGGAATTCTAAATATCATTTTCTAATTATATATCTTAAAAATTTTACCAGAGATCGCCAAACAAGTTTTGTTGGCTATAAAAAGATCGTTTTTTTTTCAAAAAAAACGAGTTCTTGGTCAGTATTCACACATATGGAATCTGCGTATGAAAATAATTTACTCTTAGTTACAATTCTATATTGAATCTTCACCGTATTAATCACTGGCACTTAAAATAATTATTATTATACATCTTATTTTCGGACGAACATTTTTAGTGATACAAACATTCCAACACATAAAACATATTGGGATATGATTTATTAAATGTATACCTTGATACACTTAAAAAAAAATACATGATTAGATTGCACTGTGTTCTATTACTTATTGAAGCGCCACAACTTGGTTGGACAGAGTACTGGCACAATATTACAATCAAAGTTCAAATCAACCATAAGTACTCTTCAAAGTGTCTCTCTACTTTTAGACTGCCAAGTCTGATCTCAGCCTTTTTCTCGAAAGGGAATAGCACGGGCAATCGGAGTGTAGGACACTAACATAACTTATCGTGTGTAAATTCTATAGTACAGCCGTATCTAATTTAGAACGTCATTGAGGTGATTGAAAAGAAATAGGCTCTATATCATTAAAGTCTTTGCTTAAAAATAATAATATAATTTGGTATCTCATGTTGGCAAAGCAAGTTACGAAATACAAATTATATTAGAGTTGAAATATTACACTAATTCACCAAGCATTTAGTTGGTTAATATCTCTCCACTTTTTGACTTACCAGTCTGATTTTAGACGTTTTTTTAATGAAAATAGCGCGGAGAATCAGAGTATAGAACACTAGTATAATCTATTGTGCAATATAATTGAATTATTGATTATTGACATAATATTATTCACCTGTTCTATGAGATGTTAAATTTTTGAATTCCTTGTGCTTTTTTTTAGATACTCAAGTATTTTATCCCTAATTGTTTTTAATTCGTGTAATGTTTGTTTGATATCATATGGAAGAATTTCAGGAGTTAATTGAAAATCTATCGTTAAGTTAGCATTAAATCCATGTAATTAATAAAAAGGCGTGTGTTTAGTGGATATTTGAGGACTGTTGTTATAACTAAATGTTATATAAGGTAGATAATAAGACCATCGGTGATGAGTATCATCATTAATGTAGTGTCTAATAGCTTGGCATTTTACACCATTAATTCTTTCTGTGAATCCTTGTGATTGTGGAGCATAACTAGAAGAGAATATTTGTTTTATTCCAAAGTTTGCAAAAACTAATTACGAAAATGAGAGCCTCGGTCGCTAGAAAAATAGTGGATTACACCATACTCGGTTATGAAATTTAACAAAAATCTAATTACAGTGTTGGCATCAGCCGATCTAGTGGCTTTTGTAAATACATACTTGGTGCTTTGACATGTAAAAACTAAAATATATTTTTTATTGTTACTACTGACTAATGGACCAAGAAAGTCCGGCTGTTAGCCTATCAAGGGGCTTACAAAAAAGTAGTGGATAGGTTGAAGTTCTCCTGCGGGTTTCCTTGGAGATTTTTATTTATTTGACATTCGTGACAAATTTTTATAAAATTAGTAACATATTTAATAAGTTCTGGCCAATAATATTTAATTTGTATTTTCTTAATTGTTTTTGTAATTCCCATATGTGCTGACATAGGTGGACAATGATGTGCTGAAATGACATCTTGCACAACTGATTTAGGTATTACTGTTAGATTATCTATATTCTGTTTTGGCATATATTGTTTTAGGTAAAGTATATCATTTATAATTACAAACCTTCTAGACATCTTAGTTATTTTGTTGAATATCTTTTTCCCATTTAATGTTTTTATGATTTGTTGGCAAAATAAATCTTCTTTTTGACTTAAAATTATATCTATGTTTTTTAATGAAGAACTTGTGTCTATTATGTTTAATAATGTATTTTGTGTATCATCAAGGTCAATAATATATGTAATTTTATAAAATTCATTAACTAATGAAGTTGGAATTGTGTGTATAGTATTATTAATAACGTTTGTTTCATATTTTAATACTTTATCATTTATGTAACCTATATGGTTGTCCATTTTTCTGTTGGACTCGAATTTATTGAATTCATTCTTATGGTTTAAAATGTGTGTATTTTTATTACACGTATCATATGTGTTAGTATATACAATACATGTATTCTATTCATTGAATGTATTTTGTGTGGAAATATGTGTATTTTTACTAAATGTATATTTTATTAGATCATATTCAATTTCATTGACTAAGTCTACGTCATTACGTGAATCGATCCAATAAATGAATCATAAGCATTACTTGAACCGATATAATTAAACGCGTTTTGTATAACATTATGTGAATCGATTTTAATAGACGTGTCCTTTAAGGTATTAGTTGAACCGATATCATTAAATGTATTTTGTACGACATTATCTGAATTGATTTTATGAAATTCGTCTTTTACGACAATTTGTAAATTAATCATATTATGCGCGTTATTATATTTATTTTGCACGTTATCATGTATATCAATTATATTATATTATCTATATTATATTTATTTTGCGCGCTATCAATTATATTATATTTATTATTTACTCCATTATTATCATATTTTTCGCGCGCTATTATCATATTTTTTTCCAGAATTATTATATTTATTCTCATTATGTGCTTTACATATGTCATTTGATTCATTAATATTCTCATATAAACTATTCTTTTTATACTTATTATGTTCATTATTTGCGCAATATTTATCATCTATATTTATTATTTTTCGGGGTATATCATTATTATTTATTTTATATATATATATTCATTTTTAATATTATCAATTTTATATTCATTTAAATCATTATCATTTATATAATTAATTATATTTTTACTTAAGTCAGGGGTATTTTTATTTCCCATAATGTTATTAAGGCCTTTATAAGTATCATTGCAATGTTTATTATAGATATTTGTCATGACAGTATTTTGTGAATGATCATTCTTAATAGTGTTAATTTGTGTATTACGCGTAAATAATCGGTTATAGTGCATTGAGTTTGTAAGTTATAAATTGGGTTTGTAATCCATCTTTATACAATGAGAATGTGTTTTCATTTTAATTTTACTAGTATTTAAATATTATTATTCAATAATAATATTATTCAACTAACCTCATAAAAAAAATATCAAAAAAATCAATAGCCGTTCTAAAAAAACGATATTTTCAAACTTATTGAAAATTCAGTGTAATCAAACAATGAAAAAAAGCTTTAATTAGAATATTATAAGCATGCTCTGGTTTTAATTTTTTTTTCAAAAAAATTCAAGTCAACGTTTTATTTGTATTAATTTAAACAAATGTGTGTGGACATTTTCAATCAAAGGTTATTTTTGCATTCAGTAAAATGTGGCAGCCATTTGCATAAAGAAGGTAGTTTAATTTTTTGAGTTAATGTTATTGGCCAGAGAGGTGCGTAACGTTGAAAATGTCTTATCTGTGATATCTATTTTATTCCTGATATAAATGAATAGCTGACACACAAAACTACAAAATTATATGGATTTTAAAATAAAGATATAAGTGCGATTTCAAACAAATTAATGTATTCGTTTAAATTATTTTCATTATTTAAATAATTTTTGATTCTTAAGTTAATATATTCACAAATATTTTCATAAAAAGGTCATAAACATTACTATATTATTTTAAAACCAGGAATATCATTTTGTCCCAAGAGTCAACTTGACATAATCTCTCTTATTATTAAATGTAATATTATATTATTACATATAATATTAATATATAATATGATGTTATCATTTGTTCATGTATGTCACATATTATGATTATACAAGATCACCAAAACAGGGTTCTCTTATTTAAAATACAAAATAACCCTTTAACTATACGATAAAATCTCCCTCTTGTAGAAATTATTAAGTAACGCCTACATGTTGGGACCCCATTTTAATTAACCAATTAGAATACAAAACCTCAGTTTCCAGGATCACGATAGAGATCGCTGAGCTACCCCCTTCACACTATAAAAAGCCATTTTTCCCCATCTAAACCAGTTCTTTTGACGATTTTAAAATACACAAAATCTACGACACCCTACTAAAGATTTCACGCTCCAGGACTTAGTCGAATTTTTAATTAATTTGGACTTAGAATATTTTTCTTTAAAACTAAATGACACTTAGAAATTTTAAAGTGAATTTTGTTTTGGTGAATCTTTTAATTAAATTTAATTTGTTCAATCATTAATAATATTTTATTTTTCTTGTTGTGGAAATAAACATCAAATAATATTTTAAACATTACATTTTTTTTAAATTATTTTATACTCTATACTTATTGGGTAGCTAGTCTCGTTGCTAATGTGTTTGTTTTAACAAACATCGCGCCGGCAGACAACGCAGAGAAACTTACGAATATATTTGCAGTGTTTAATTTTTGTCATGGTTATTATTGTGCCGCATCCTTTCAAGGTGCTTTATTTTAGCACCGGAACACATTGGGCCACCACAATTCTGCCTTGATAAATTTTTTACATAGATATAGATATTTCTGAATCTTGTTTTGGCCAGGCCAGAGGAAAATTTAAGAAATATTGGTATCAATCTCTCAATAAAAAAATATACTCTCTAAAAAATACTTACTCGATAAACGTAAAAAAAAACCAATAAGTAAAAAAATCAAAATTGTTTTTATAATAAAATACAGAGTGTTTAAAATCTTTTACAAGTAAGATCAGTCTTTGTGTAATTGTGTAATTAAATCATATTATTTAAAGTCTGGAGTCGTTTTTTGTAATTAATTATATAGACTATATGACATATAGTGTAAATCGTATACGTAGTGCGTTTAATACGGAAATCAACACTGGATTACTTGAAATATTATTGTATTACACAGGACGTAAGGTAAATACAATTTAACCTATGCTTTCGAACTTCCAAAAATCTATTGAGTGATAAACCATTAATAATTAATGAGAGAAACAATTAATGAGAAAATTAATTTAAATAAAATTGAAGACAATTAAATCTACAAAAAAACTTAAAAACTTATAATAAATAATAAACATAATAATTTACTAAGTACCACCAATTTCTTTTTATATTTAACCTATACAATCTCTTAACTATAATAATTATCCAATCTCTACATTAATAATTTGTTTCTCTCTTATTTTATCTTTTCTTTTCTTTCTTTTTATTTTTGGTTTATTACATAAAATTAAAAGAATATTTCAAAGATAAATCATATACTGTATTAAATATTGAATTATTATCTATAAATTCAGAAAAATACACAATAATTAAAATTTTTAGTTAAAATTAAAATTATTATACAATAACGTAAATTTATGTTGAACATAATGACATGTTTTTTTTTAAATTTATTTAAAACTATAAAATATTTTTTTTATGTTTACAGTAATTTAATTTATATAATTATATTTTTTAAATGCTTAAATTTAACTATTACTTGAATTTTGTCAAATTTCCCCCCAGTCCTCTAATTATACTATTATTATACAATTTGAATAAAATTTCATTGGTAAGTTATTCTTCTAAGTAATTTTTAAATATATTTCTATAATAAAAATTTGGCATTTTGATAGTATATTTTAATTTATTTTATGAGTAAATAAAATTTAGCCGTGATAACCTATAAATAATTTCTATTAACGTATAGTGCATGTAAAGATACAAATCAAATTTAAATAATACAACTATTATTTTAAATACTTACATTTTAAGCATATTTTTTATATTATTATATTTTTATATTCATATTTTATTTTTACCCTAGTTTAAATTACTCAGAATAGTAAGAATTGTACTATGTATAAAAAAATTTTAATTTATAAATTTTACAATGAAAATTATTTTTCACTTTTAGCTGATACTATTATTTTCATTCTTCTTATTTGGTATACCCGGCCACTAGGACCATCCCGACATTCATTCTTGCCTCCAATTTTCTTTATACGATACCTGTATCCTCCAATCTACCCCTCCTCCTAACGCTTTCAAATCATTTCTCACTAAGTCCTCCCATCTCAGACGTGGTCTCCTCAGCGGTCTTTTTTCAGTAGAGTTTTCTTCTAATACTATGCGTATGAGTGGGTTTTGGCTACGCCAAGCATGCCCAGCCCATAACAGTCTTTTGTCTTTTATTGGTTCAAGTATACTGGATTTGTGTAAGAGCGTTTCTAATTCATCGTTTTTTCTTATTCTCCACTCACCATATAGCATGTCCTTTACTGGACCAAAAATCTTTCGCAGCATATTTCTTTCCAGAATTAAGAGTTTTGTTTCATTAATTTTCCGTAATGGCCATGTCTCAGCTCGATAAGTAATTATAGGTTGTATTAATGTAATGTATAATTGTATTTTTAAATCCTTTGAAAGTGATCCTGATCCCATTAATTTTGCAAGACCATAGATGCATTTATTTCCTGACTGAATTCTTGCCCCTTTTTCTAATTCGATTTCATTTCTCTCTGATAGTATTGACCCTAGGTACTTGAATTATTTAATTCTTTTGAAATTTCGTGTGTTGATGTTAAGAGTTGGATATAGTCTTATGGTGTCTCGTCTTCCTACTGCCATATATTCCGTTTTGTCCTCATTAATATGAAGTCCAACTTTCAGTGCTACTTTCTCCAGCCGATACTATTTTTATTAAGAAATTAAATCAATAATTTAGTGTCAAAATATCAGAAAATAAAATTACATCGAAGGTTATAATGTACTCAATCTATAATTAATTAAAAAGATAATTATATTGACCTAAAAATTAAATTTCAACAAACTAAGGGTAAAATATATCTATGCGTAATCAGGTTATTAACTTATTAAAATAATATATTCATTTATTCACTAGTGATAATAAACAAATCAAAACAGCAAAAGTAAATTGATAAACTTTTAGAAGATGATATTATAAAATCAATCACTTAAAATTTTAGGACACCGGCTTTTTTAATAAATTAAAAATATAAATACTCATATCGGTTTATTGTTTCGAATAAATGATTAATTGGTAGAGTTCAATCAAATTTATATCCATTACCAATAACTACTGATTTATTACGAGCATTAGACAATTCGCAATATTTATATTTACTCGATTTTAATAGGGTTTTTTTTACAATTACCAGTTAAAACTATAGATCAATACAAATGAGCCTTTATTTCAGCATTAGGATTTTTTAAAAATTAAATGGTGTACAAAGCATGAAAAATCATTTAACACATTAAAGCAAGCTTTATTACAAAACCTCTATTAAAACATTTGGATGACACTAAATAACATTCAAAATAAACATTTTTGGCCTAATCTTATTAAAGATTTATTAAAACTGGTCCAAATTGTTAAACAAATAAAAAATTGAGTGGAAAACCTATAGGACAATTACAGGATATAATTTGACGTACCATTTACATCTAAGCAATTAAATCACTTAATTTTCGATTATATGGGTCCAATAAGTTCAAGTAATAGTAATAAATATATTTTAGTGACAGTATGTCATAATACTAAATATATTTTTACAAAAGCAGTAGAGTCTAATACAGCTGAAGCCACTGTTAAATTTATAATTTAAATAGTATCACAATGAGGCGATTTACCTTTAATTTACCTTAAATTGGGGTTCCCATATTAAAATAATGTAGTACAAGAAATTTGTATAAACCTGGGAAACAGATATGGTCAACAGCTTACATACTCCAAACTCAAGGTCTTGTAGAAAAAGAAAATGGTGTTCTATGCGCATCTTTAAGAAATTATATTGAAAAAATAATTATCAAATTATTGATCAATCTAAATGGTCATATTTGCCATTTGTAACTTTAGTATATAACTCAACTCCACAAACTAGTACGGGATACAGTACATTTTATTTAATGCGTGGATTCAAACCATATTTTCCAATAGATAATAAAATTATACATAACAATTTACTATATGATATAATAAAATCTTTAGAAATACTGTATGAATCATTCAGTGAGTAAAAACATCATTCACATAAGACGTCTTAAATATTACTTTCAAAGACATTATGAATAAATAATTATCGATGTGAAGCAGAGAAGCTATTAATTTTAATCATTTCTTTTAAAATTAAACACTATCTACAGACTTTCATCGAAGCGTTTTTTTATGATAGTAATTTAAATCACTGTCAATTATCATCTATACTGGACCCAACTATGCCACGTCTCCACTATGCCGCGACCCCAATGTGCTGGGTTTATAGCTTCGATGCAAAACTGAGAAGGTATTAATTTTACTGTAATGTGTTTTTTTATTATTATTTTTTTTTATTTGTCTGTTACACTTTATTTCAACTTTCACCGCACCGACTTCTTTCAATGATACGTCAAAAGATCACAAATCATATCTAGTCGAAGATATTACCTTCAAAAATTGGAAAAATTTCCACTTTATTAATAGAAAAGTTACTTAGCCCACATTTTCCATATAGACAATTAAAATCATTAATTTTTATTGTCTTTACAGTTTTTACTGTCGAAATAGGTTTGATATGATAATATGCGTCAACTACAAAATTAAATAATTGTACTTCGTAATATATTCATTTTTTAACTTAATTTGTGTATGTTACTAACAGTCTAATATTCCAAATTTATTGATAACATGTTGCTATATAAATCATAAATCTAAAAAAAATTATTTTTAATTTTACCTGAATTAAAAAAAAATTTCAACAGTAATAATCAAAATTTAAAATTTTGATTGGTTTTTAGTTTAACTAAATTATTAAAACTAACTATGAATATTTTAATTGTTGAATCTTTTTAAACACCAATAATTACTTAGAAATTATTAAGTGATCTATTACAATTAAAATGCAAAACAGATATTGAACTTTTCTGATAAATTTACAGTAAATAGTAATTATACAATTTCCTGACTCCATATTAATCTTAAGAATACTATTTTTTATTCTCATAAAGTTTTCTATTTAATAATTTAAATTTTAAACTTGAAGTTAAGCTTAAAGTTATGGTAACAAATTCAAGTTTTTTTTTATTTTAAACTTTCAAAAAATCAATTTTAAAAGACCAAGAAAAAAGGTTAAAAACGATATTTTGCTCTGATTATTTTTAACATATTAAAAATCAAAATCTGTAATAATTTGAATACCATTATTTTGTGTTTTAATTATTTTTTTATCCTAATAAATCATTTCAAAAGAAATATTCATAATTTCTATGTAACTCTTGGTGTTTAAATAGATGATAGAATTGAAATATTCAGAACTATTTTCTTTACAGTTATATCTTGTAGTTTTTAATTAATTAGTAATAATATCGAAATAATTGGTGATAGAAAAAATATAGTTGCTGATTTGAAATTAGCAAAAAAAATTAAATAATAAAAGTATAATTTTGACTATGATGAAAATTTTTTGGAGACCATTTATTCATAAATAATAACTAATTATTATCTAAAAAGTTTTGTGTCAAGCCCATTATTTTTTATATACGTTTGCTATAAAAGTAATAACTACTTTAAAATTTTTTATAAATTCTACGAAAAAATTATAATACTAAATTATTAAATATCAATATCATAATACGTTTAATTGCTTTAATAGATATTTATTCATAAATTATAAATATAAATCAACTACTAATTATAACTTTTTCAAAAATGACCAAATCAATATAAGTTTTTTTTATTGATGTATGAGGTTTTTATCTATCATTTGGTATACTTTTTTACTTAATGTGACCATTGATCTCAGGGGAGATTCAAAGTGACAACTTTTTCACAAAAAATTAACTTTTTCAACTTAACTTTTATATATGATTCGAAAATACTGACATTTTTCGGACTTTAGTCTGTTTTCATGGTGAAAACTGATATAAAATTTTAA